AGAGAGAATAGGCTGGAGCTCTGTGGGCCAGGGCTTGGCCTATTTGTCTAAGACACTAAAGTGTGCTTTAATGAAACTAGAATATCTTCATGGGAAAATGCTACCTCTTATGTTAATTCAGTCCCAGCTTAAAACAGGAAGGTGGAGAAACTGGAGACAGATTCCTCTCACTCTTGCTGATTAAAAGTGAGAACTCTGATCAAAGACACACTATATGTTTCAGTACCTGCAAACAGTGCTCCTTTCTATAGTCCCATGTTGGTTTTGTGTTTTTGACTGTGAGGTGGGGTTCTTTTGAGTTATCACTGACAAATGGCACAGGTACAGGTGGACGTGCAAAGCAGCATCATGTTTTGATTGGGTTTGTGTGTGTCCATCAATGGAAGCACAAACATTTAAGGATATTTTTATCAATTTGAGATGCTGATAAAGTAAGATGTCTTCAGAACATTGGGTTCAGGAATCTAAAATAACTCTAAGGAGGGAAAATCTCATGATGGATTTACTTAGGATGAAATTTGCATCAATGGTTTATGGCATGTGCCTGAACTGCCAAATTTCAATATTTGAAGATGTTAATAGGAAGACATATTAGAACATATGTACCAGACTAAACATTGTCTACTCTGTGATACTGGTGTCATAGATGAGTAAGAAGAAGCAAAGCGAGATGTCCTGTAGCTAGCGCGTTGAAGAAGATAACTATAACTCCAGTTTTGCTTCTGTTGAAGTAAACGTTTAAACATCATTTTTAGGAGTAGAACATCAGATGTTGTAGATGAATGGTTCTTCTTTTTCTGGAAACATAATTCATGCTTGTCCCGACAGTTCTTTTGGAATCAAGGTGGGATTTTTATTAAGTTCTCTTGGTATTGGTTAGAAAATTTATCTAAACTAGAGAGGATTGGTTAACATGATAAAAACAAGTATGACAGATAAAGCAGAATAAACTCCTGGAACACAAGCAGAAATGCTATCGACAGTGGGGTTTTGTTGGCTTGTTTTTGGAGGTTGATTTTTTGTTTGTTTTTTGGATTGTTTGTTTGTGGTTTGTTTGTTTTTAATTAAAATATTAAGAGTCTGTGCTTCATTCAACAATCCTTGACAAATCAATACTACATATATGGAATACATCAATATCTATCATGATGTAAGAACACTGCTTTGAGAAATTCATTGCTTAGAAGAAAGAGGCATTATTTTACTGGTGCATCAGAACTGACTGCCAGTCTGCAAGAACATAAATTAGAATTCATTGTCTGAATTTTTTCTCATTCATGAAATCATTACATTACATTAGTCTGAACAAAAAAACTGAGCTGTCATATTCTCTGTAAAGATGAACCAGAACTTTTTCCAGCTTTGCATCTTATACTTCATTAATTACTCCTGAGAAATTATTATGTTTTACAATGGAGGAAGGAGACCGAAGTGCCTGAATCGTATCAAACAATGCAACGCGTAACCTGATAACTGAGCATTCTGTGCAACTGAACTTGCACTGCGTTTAACAGGAGTTTTGCATAAGAAGAGCTTTGTCATTAAAGTGAATGCTGAGTTTTGTTGGAGATGTTTGTAAGACGATTCCACATCCTCTCATCCAAAGACATTAAGCAGTTGTATGCAGTTTCTAGATTACTTAGTGTTAGTGCCTACCAGCCCTTCCTCCCTCCCACTAGAAAGAAAGTAAATAATTACAATGTCTTATTTAAAAGCATTACCTTGCTACTGGTCTGTGATTTTGTTTAGCTGAAATAGATGTCTTTTTTCCCTTTCTCTTTTTGTTGAAACTTGTCTATAAAAAAATCACACAGAATTTAACTTAGTGCAGCATTATTAGAAATATAGAAAACATCTGTTTCTGTGCTATGATATATCACACTTATAATCCTTGTCTCACTTTTAAGTATTCTTGTGTGTTCTTGTCATGGCAATGTATGCAGATTGTAGCTGTGAATTTATTTTGGTGGATTGCTGATTTGAGAAAAATGTAAGGTTTTTTTTTTGTTTTGTAGATAGGTTTTCCATTAAATATGTTCTATGTAGTAAAAAAAAAAAAAATGACCAAAATAAATACATGACCAATATACATGCCCTATTCATGTAGAGAATAACAGAGAATTAAGATTAAATCAAAGAAATATAGTGCACAATCATGCATTAGAATAACAAACTTTTATTAGCACAAGTGAGATTTTATTAGCACGAGTGTTTCATTTATGTGGACTTCCAGCCTATGACTGTACAAAGACAGGTAACAGTTTTTAAGTATTTGAGAGATTTCACAGCATTCTTGTCTTCCAACACATAAGCAGTCATCAGCTTTTTCTTTCTCTCTTTTCTCAGTGAATTACCTCATTGCTGCTTGATAAAATCACTGAACTGCTCAGCTGTATCATCACTAGTTGGTCTAGGAAAGAATACAAAGAAAGAGAAAAGATTCAGTGTTCTAGACCCTGTAACTGAATTGACTTCTCAATGAAATCTTTTTTTTGCTTAGACTGATTCTTTGTGATGTTACACAGAAACATCCAAACCTTTGGAAACCTTTTTTATTATTATTATTCCTGAAATTCATTATTGCACTAGTTGTTAGTATTTATTTTATATAACATCTATGAACAAACATTCTTCTGCAAAACACGTGTCAATTGTTGAACAATACACACGCAGAGAGTTTAATACTAAAATTATTATATGATTTATTGCTTGTTTTTTAAATTAAAGGCCTTTGGTAATGAGTGTGGTCAATTGTTAAGATTGCCAGGTGGCATGTAAACTTACAACTCAAAAATTTCCATCCAAAGTTATGGGTATTGGGAACAAAGCAGCTTCTAAAAGCCCAGTTGCTTTTATGAGAAGAAAGTGCAGCCACACAGAAAAAACTGAAATCATTCAATATCATATCATATCATATCATGGCCTAGGCTGGAAGGGACCTTAGAGATCATTTTAATCCACCCTCCCTGCCGCCAGGGACGCCACCTTTCGACTAGATCAGGCAAACACATGGGGACCGAATAGGAATACTAAGGCAGAAGTACAGTAATTGAATTGGTAGATGGGGTTATACTTCTCTGTCTAGTTGGAATATTAACAGCTTTTTTTAGTTTGCCATGGACACATTCCATCTAATGCTGAGGTATATCAGTGAAAATTCCATGTGAAAAGTTAACAATTGTATATAATGTAGGTTGTCTTTTGTTTTTTTTTAAAAGAATCTACTTTTTATCATGCACATTATTGCTATTGGTCTTAGAGCATGTGACAATAAATGAATATTTCATAATATTCTGCCTGCTTCTCTGTTAACTGAAATGCATGTTTCTTGTACAAAGTTTCACTTAATTTTGTTCTTGAGAGAAAAATGTTGGTAGTTGACTAAAAATGAAAAAAGACATGGCTTTGGTATAGAGATTCAAATGTAAAAGGCATGATAGCGAGCAGGCTATGTCATCAGTCTTAGTCGTCAGAGAGCCAAAAGTTAATCAAGCAAAGAACAGTTGAAAACCTCATTTAAAGAAATCACATCTGTTTAGGGATAAAAAACCCTGAGGCATATGCTTCAATTTCATTTAAACTGTAATCCATCCAGTGGTTTACATCTGTTAAAAAATATGGAACTTTTCACACCTCTTTAAAGCACTATTAAACTGCATTTATTTTAATACATAATGTGTTCCAAATATGTAATACCTTTACTGAAATGACTCATAGATGATTGATTTCATAATTCTTTGTCATATAGCCTTCCAAGTACTTCAAATTAGTTTGTGTATAAACCACAGATAAAATTTAAAGAAAAAAAAGTGTAGAAATAATGTGAATTGATGCCAAAAACTTCAGTGGAACTGTCAATTTATATGACCAAGACAGCAAATTTTGGGAGGGAGATTTCTTAAGCAGTAAAATAAAACATTACAGATAAGAAAATCTAGTTCAAGACCTTTAGTCACAAAAATTTTATTTGAGTTTAGCCTTGCTGTTCTTGAATGTTACTTATTAAAATGTGTATCTCTCAAAAAGAGTGTTGTTAAAAAGAGTGTTGTCAAAAAGAGTGTTGGCATAATCCTGACAATCTGACCGTACTGCTTGGAGTTTGAAGCACAGTGGTAGGAGTAGTGTCTATGAACTACAGAGTTCAGCCAGAAATATTTCAGGTAATGATTCAGGGGGTTATATCTCACTCCTTTGTATGAAGAGGAGCCTAGTACTCCACTCTGTGTCTATAATGGCTATTCGTGTATTTTTAATTCTAATTGAACATTGCCCCCTCTGATTTCAAAGTTCTCTGTGACTTTTCCCTATCTGATATTGGGATTTAAAGACTGCTTCACTCAGATCCTTTAACATAAGGTTTGTTTTATAAACATCAAAATATGAAAATACCTATGTATACATTATCTGAAAGACATTTTGATTAGATGATCACATACTATGTACCATAAGCCACATGCGTCAGTTGGTACATGGAATGGTTGGTGCTCATTTAATAGCAGCTAGTCAGTATTTTGCTTACGTACTTCTACTGTATTCCTGCAAAATGCAAATGATTTTACAGTAGTAGTTTTTATTACGAGTTGCTAAATTGTTACAGCAATATGGTGGATATAAGTATGCACATTATGGTGTCTTTCAGTGTGATATGTGTATCAATTTCACATTTTCTGAGTTTAGTGGACTACTTTAGCAATGTTTTTCATTGCTAAATGAACAAATGAAAAAGATCAGATGAGGAGAGTACACACAAAAAATAATTTTCCTTTCAATATGCCCGATGTCAGGTGCAGCTGTAGGACAGCATTGCTTGCTGACAAGTTTTTTATAAATGAATTGGAGAAATAAATATTGAAAAGAATATTTTCCTGTTTTCGTACAAGTAGCTGTGTGTTTGTCCTGATTTTTGAGGTGTTCCATTCTTCAGTGATTCTACAGTTGAAGCACCTCTGTTGCCACAAAATTTAATTGTGTGTTCATCCAGTCATTCTGTGTTGTTGCAGAGGATCTTGATGATCTAAGAATGGAAGGTGTAACAAGTGTGATGTCTTCTGGGAGCAAATTCAATCAAGCTCGAAGTGCCCATACGGCTGAGCCTCAAGCAAAGGTCACCTTGAATATCTGCGCGAGATGTGCCAGGTAAAAAGCAAGAAAAAACCAGATCATGCTAAGCAGTAAGTTCTTTTCCCCAGGTTTTCAGCTATGTATTGTGGTTATGGGTGCAGGTGATGACCTCTCCTGTGCTAAAGAAAAAATAATTACTTAGCACTGGCTCCCCTATAACCTCTGGCATTTGGGTTGTGCAACTTATGTTTATGTTTGGTATGTCATATCAACAATGAATCAAAGAACATAGTTAGTCTTAGGCCTTACTTCCCAGCTTGAAACTATTTTAAGCCTTTCTGTCTCTGAATTTCATTAGTTATTTGAGCTTCTGTGGTTTTTGAGGGGATGAATCAGGGAATTTAAAGGTTCAAATCCAATTTGAAAAGCACCTGTATAAATGGAGATTTAGTTGCACAGGTGCAGTTCAGAATTTCAAATAGTTGCTTCTTAGCACTTTATAATCTCATCCTGTTGCACCTCTGAGAAATAATTTAATCAAGTTGAACCCCTTTTGGTTTTGACAGCTGGAAATAATTCTTGCATTTACAGTATGAGGGCCAAATAAACAGGTTGGTATTCCTGTAGCCAAGTCAACTGGAGAATGCAACACTAACAGAAACCCCTTAAATGTCCTAGATGTATTCTTCTATGTAGACAAAAGCTCATTTGGAGAAAGGATTTAAGCCTGTTTAAATGACAAAACTAGCCTTCTCACCCTTCTGTTAATGGTTCAGATTAACAAGAACAATACAGAGGCATGCCAATTTTGTCTGCCTGCCTTTGCCAATGGCTGCTCTATTGTGTAGTTTGAGAGGGGATTAGCCGCTTGTAAATAAAAAGCAACCTGTGGTGAAATTAAGTCAAAAGTTTGGCCATATGCCACCCTACGTTTCTACTTTTTTTCCCATTTTGCTTGTAAATTACTACCTTTAAAAGGCACTTATGTAGGAAGAAGGGCTTCGAAACATTTTCTGATGCTCTGGGAGCCTAACTACAGGCACACCCATGCAATAGCATTTTTTCAGCAGGGTTGTGGAGCCTCAGGGAACCTCAGCTCACAGTACTGTCAGAGCAACAGAGACTAGATGACCTTGTAATTCTAGAGAGCTTTACTGTCAGTACTGTGGCTTTATGCTTTAGGAAAAGAGCAAACATGCTAGTCATGGGATTCTTCCCAACTCACTAGGAAGAAATTGTTTATGTTGTAAAAAGTTTCCAAAAGACTAGCTACATGAAGGTCTAGCACCTTTTTTCAACTGGCATTGGTTTTCCCTGGATTAACAAGTAGAAGGGTGAGGAATACAGAAATGCTAAATTTTCTACATGGTCTTTTTGAACACACATAAAATCTTGTATGGATTACTCTGAAGGTTAATTAAATTTTAAATTCCCTAAAGTAGCTGCTAACAGCAGGTGTCAAGATACTATATATTCTCTCAGTCCTGCACACCAGGGAACAAACAGCTCAGATCTTGAGCCAAAACTACTAACCTTGGCTATGGCTATTGACCTTTAGCTGACTGTACTATATGACTCTGCGGTCTAAAATATGAATTGTGAGAGAAAGAGCTCATAAAATCCCCTTTTTGTCACTTCACTTATCAGAGAATGTAAGGCAGTGCCTTATTTCTCCTATACATCTTAATTTCATTCCCCACGCTATTTATTGAAGTTGATGAGGAGCAAGATGATATGCACATGACTGTGGTTCTTTTAAGCCTTGTTGCAGTTTAGCAATTTCTTTAAACTTTGGAGTAATTAAATAAAATATGCTCTCTCATCAGTAGCAACTGAAGTCAAAGGAGAAGAATGAGTCTTGCTCTTGTATTCAGTACTGAGGAAACTAGCATTTATTCTTCAAGACCCCCATTCAGTCCTCATGTGTTGCCACTCCCATGACAGGAAGGTTGGATTAAATGATCTTTAAGGTCCCTTCCAGCCTAGGCCGTTCTATGATTCTATGACTCTATGATGAAGTCTATCTATGCTTTTTGAGTGTTGCTTCCTTCGTACTGAGTGGGAGGACACTTTGCTTCTCTTACTTCAAGATGGAGTTATTAGTGCAGTTATGTCTCTCCTGTGATACCTCCACAGCAAATTTGTTCAGTGCTTTCTTGCAGCAGCTGAAGTAGTTGGTGGGGTTGCATGAAGCATGTGGCTTCAAGGACACAGATAGTGGTTTTTTTCCTGTTTCGTTCCTAGAGCAGTTCAGTTTTCTGTTAGTTGGTGATAACAGCCATTGAAAATACCACGCTATAAAATCACAGCCTGAATATTTGCATCATCTCTATGAAAGCTTCTCAGTACTGGCATTTATCTCCATTGTTCTGAAAAAAAAAAGCATTTATTGGGAGACAGAGCCTATTAGTGTATTTATTTGTTTTAAAATTTCTATTTTTACTTTTTGATGTTCTCTAACTAGTCCTTGCTGTACAGTTTGTATTAAAGACTAGGATTTGGTTGTAGGTGCATTTGAATATAATTAATAAAAAGTCAGTATAAATTATTACGCATACTTTTAGTTACAGTTAAACAGGTGTCTTTCCTCTTAATTTTGCCCATTTTTTGGTTTTATAAAGTGGTTTGAAATGAATGGAGCTGTTAATGACAGTGGCTGTTTTGTAGATAATAGAGCTTGTCAGACCAGATTATCAAATCAAGTTTGCTGAAATTATTTTCCCTGTCTGTAGGAGGAATATGACTTTTAACTCGAAATTTGATTGGAGGAGTTCCAAATGTTAGGAAACATGCTTCTTGACTCAGATAAAATGTTTAATTTTACTCTTGGATTTGCATAACCTAGTTATTTCACCTTGCTCTATTTTTAAAAATAATGCTTTCCTCTCATTACTCTCCAGTCAATTTACCTTCTATTATACCTTCTCGAGAAGGTTCCTCACTTCCTTCCCTTCTAAGAGGGATTTGTTTAAACAATTGAAGGAGTTCCTTGGTACTAGTTTTAACTTAATTTGGCTTAATTTTTGGGGTCTCACTCGGAAAGGACAAATAGCCTTTATCAAAGTTCCATCCTACTTCTTCATTAAAATCATGTGTAAGGTTTAGACCCTCCTGCTACTAAGACTGCATTTTCTTGCCCTAGATTAATAGAACTCCCTTCACAGAATCACTGAATGTTAGGGGTTGGAAGACACCTTGAAAGATCATCTAGTCCAACCCCCCTGCCAAAGCATTGTCGTCTGAGGACTGGAGAGAACAGGTCAATGGCTATGTGTATGATACTTCAGCCTGAGGGGAGTGCTGGTTTAATTCTCTATGTCCACTGAGAGCACATGCAATATGCCTTATCTTTTCTGTGGCTTCTAGAGCTTCCTACAAATGGGCTGAACATGGGAGGACAGTGACTCTGCACAGTAATAGTTCTTCCCTTTGAGCTACCCTATTCTGTTTCTGATGCAGTGTTCAACAGTGTCAGAGGAAGACCTTAAAAAAGAGTGCAAAATGGGAGTGCCTGTAGTCACAAGGGAAATTAAATCCCAATTATATTGTGGGGCTAACCTGCAATGCTGTTGAGGAGCTGCATTTGGCGAAACACTCTCCCTTGCCTTAAGTCTCTTAGATGAAAGCAAGAGCTCTCTCATGAGCTGTAAGAAATGAGACTGAGAATGGACATAATTTAAACTGGAGTAAAACCTGCAAACTTTTAGGTTTTTTTTTTAGAAACTTATATAATGATAATTTCACCAATTGTTTTCAAATAATAGGTAAGGTAGAGTTATCACAGCTCAGGTCAGTAATTTTAATTTTCAATTTTAAATTTTAAATTTTTAATTTTAATTTTCAAGTTATCAGACTAAGTTGATTTTTTACACCTTACAATTAAAAAAAAAAACGCAACCCAAAATTCCCACAAAACCAGCCAAACCAAAAAAGCCAACAGCATCCAAAAAACTCAGAGAAAGAGAAATAAAAGGAGCAGTTAATTCTCCTGGAGTATAAATTGGTTTGTAGACTGGAATATAGCTGTAAGAAACAGAGAGCTTACTGTTTTCTGTAGAGATGTTTCACACACGATGAGCAAAATGCAGATGGATAACAGCTTTAAGAGGTTTTTCGAATGGGAAAGTAGCTGCAATACAATGTTATTCCCGTAGCTGCTCTTGGACTACAGTGCAAGTTAAGCAGCATATTAAGTCATCTAAATAAAGGGGTGACATCATTCACAAGGTGGAACAAAACAAGGTTTATAGATACAGAGAAAAAGGCTACCAAGAAATCGCTGTGTTTGAAAGGTTTGCTTTTTTCCTGTTTAGTCTGGAAAATTAGCAAAAGCACTTTTTGTACAACTCATCTGGATTTAGATCATTTGAGTAAAATTGTTACAATAAAATCTCCTTCTTCATCTATTGGTGCAACTAATCTGATTTAGAGAATAGACTGATTCATTCTATAACATGATTTTGTGAATTCTTTCTCAGATGCAAGAAAAACAAATTTTGGGTTTGGCCGACGAATCATAAGACACCCTCACATGTAAACAAAAGTCATATGGGTTAAAGAAAGATCTAAATGACAATTTGTAAAAGCCAAAAAACACTTCCAACATTTCTCATGTATTGTGACTTGCACGTTGAGCGTTGTGCAAGAGTTTAATCAGGCATAAAGTATAAGATAATGTTAATGTACTATTGAATGAATTTTAGGGGTTTTTTGTTGGTTTTGTTTTTTTTTTTTAAGGACCACCCATTAGCTTTGTATGCCCACTGCCATGCTCAAAAGTTAAATCTTGTTCTTGTGGAGTCTTGCCAATGCATTCCTGGAAGTAAGAAGCTTTTTGTTTTTAATAGCGCAAGGGCTGCATTCATTCTTCTTAACATCAATAGAATACAAAAAAGGGGTTGCATGTGATTAAAAAAGAAATGGGATTATAGAAAACATACTGTGCCACAAGCTTGAAGGCTTCTGAACAAGAATGTTGGGAAGCAGCACTAGTTGCATACAAATGTAGATTTGAGATGCAATATTTTAGTTAATATTTTAAGATTATCTAGAGCAAAAGTCCTATGTCCTACAGC